GGAAAGCATGCTGGATCGGAAACCAGGGGACATGGGTTCAAATCCTGTCTCTCCTACCATCTGTGTGACCTTGGCCAAGTCACTTATTTTCTCGCTGCCTCAGTTTACTCATCTATGAAAAGGGGGATTGGACCAGATCACCTCTAACATTCCTCTTAGTTCCAAATCTATGATCTTAGGTACTCATATAAGTAGGCGCAAAGCAATTTCAAGAAGGAGATTAATTAATCCCACACTTTGCAGCGGGGGGATTAGGAAGGCTTTGAGTAGGGGATATTACAGCAGGCTGAGCCTTGACAGAAGTCAGGGTGCCTTCCTAATCCTTCTGCTTGTTGGTATTTCTCTCCCTTCTGCCAAATTCTTTCTTTTAAAAGTCTCTTGCGGTGAAAAGGATTCTCAGTCAGAAGACTTGGGTTGGGATCCTTGCCCCAGTGCTTCCTAGCTGTATGTTGGCTGCAGGCAAGTCACTTCTCTCCACATCTGAGAGGTAACCAGATATAAATGAAAGGGCACCAGACATAGTGTCAGTGGGCCTGGGTTCAAATCCCACCTTCCAACCCTCACTAGCTGTATAAACCTGAGCAAATCACTTTCCCTCATCCTTAGGTTTTTCATCTGTAAAATGAGGATGAGAACATTTGTGAAGAGAAGAGGAGGGACCTCTTAAGAGATTCTTTAACAAGGTAAACTCCTCATAAGCACGTCAAGGCAGGAGTTGTGCCTCAGACGGCTTCTGTAAGTGCCTTTGGGCCTGGCACGTTCTGAGCACAGTTCATCCCTCAATGATATCGTGAGTGTGACGTCTTAACTTGCCCATGAATTGGATTTGAGTGAGGATCAGATGTGTGTGAACTGGATTTAAGTCATCAGCTTCAATCTATCTTCCAGAGTCATTAGAGTCCAAGATGCCTAGAGATGGCCCACGATGCAGTGGGTATCCTTGGCCTTTCTAAATTAAGGTCTTTCCCAGGTCTCACTTTCTCTGAGGCCACACTCATTCAATGAATAAGGGCTAGGTAAGAATTGAGACAAAAGATGGCCATTTCTGAGCGCCTTGATACTCAATAAATGGAAGGAAGTTAAGTAGATATGGCACTAGACTTGTACACAAGAAGACCGAGTTCGAATCATGCCTCACTTACTAGCTATGTGATCTTGGGCAAGTCATTTAACCTCTGCCTGTCTCATTTCCTCAACTGTAAAATTAGGACAATAATAGCCCCTACTTCCCAGAGTTGTTGTGAAGATCAAGTAAAATAACATACAAAGTGTTCTATGAAGCTTAAAGTGCTCTATAGATGTTCTTCTTCTTCATCATCATTATTAAATGCTTGTTGAATTGAATTAAAATGAAAAAAAAAAGACCAGAATATCTTCCTGAGTCTGATTTTCAATAGAAACCTATGAGAGGTAGCATGACACATTGAATAGAAGTTCAGCCTTGGAGTGAATAAGACCAAGGTTCAAGTCTTACCTCTGACACATACTAACTCAGTGTCCATAGTCTATTCATTTCACCTCTCAGTGTCCCAAGCAAATCTCTCACACTGAAAGTTATAGACAAGTTGTTCATCTGCCTCCATGGAAACAGTTTCCACACTAGGAATTTCCTACACCAATAAAACCATATGAGCAGAAAAAGAAGATGTCTTAAAGAAGATGTCTAAATCCCATTTCTGGATTTATCTCTAGAAACCCTTGCCCAGTTCAACCCAAGGTGGTCTCAGCTTGCTCGAATCCACCGTTGCAGCCTGTGAAGCCTTCCTATTCACTTCCCTTCTCCTCTGGGGCTAAGCTATATGCTAACCATTTGTTAACTTATTGCTCTGCTGTCATTCTTCAATGGAGCCCACCCAGTGAATGGGAGAACCAAAGCCATGTTCCCAAGGCTACACTGTGCTTCCATTCATGCCGTTGGGAGGAAAGAAAGAAGCTGGTTTTTTCAGTCTCCATGGGAAGATTCTTAGCTCTATGCTGAAATCGACTCTTCCCTCAAACAAGGAGTCTGACTGTTGCCTTATGGTTAGCAGGGATGGAGAAGCTCCCAAGCCCCAGATCCTTTGTGAACAAAGGCCAACATATTCGTGGGCATTCCCACACAGACATAAGGAGAATGTCCTAGTTACTGAGGCCAGGCACTAGGAAGATAAATAATAAATTTTGCCAAGAAAAGGGAAGCCAGAGAGGTTTTCGATCCTATAAAGGCATCTCATAGCAACTTCCCTCTGTAGGGCACTGAACAAGGAAACATCGATTGAGATCTAGACAGGACCTTAGAGGCCATTTGGTCCTAATCACTCATTTTTACAGATGAGGAAACTGAGGCCCAAGTGATCCCAAGATCACAGAGGTAGAAAGTACCTGAGGCAGGACTTAAACCCAAGTTCCCTAGGACTAAGTTGAGCAGGGATTGTGTTTTTGCTTGTTTTTGTATCTATCCCCAGTGCTTAGCATGGTACCTGGCATAGATCAAGTACTTAATAAAATGCTTGATCATGGACTGACTCTGGCTCCAGAGCTGGTATTCTTTCCACTACCCTATACTGTCTCCTCGGTACTGGGGACTTTTTTTTAAATGAACTCAAATCAGAATCCTGTCATTTCTACCTATATAACCGTATCCACCTGTCAAATTGTAGTTATGTCCACTGGAACATCCAATCAGCCTACTCCTCTTTCTTTTTCTATTTTTTTAAAAAAAACAAACAGTGTTGCCCCCTCTGCCCCCATTCCAACCCCAGAGGCTTTTTTTTTCTTTTTTCAGATTCAATATTCCAGGCTCCTTCAGCTATTTTCCATCTGCCATAGCTTCCTAAGCCCCTGCTATCCTGGCCACCTCCCACTGGATGCCCCTCTCATTTGTCAATGTCCCTTCTAAATTGTTGGTTTGGGAGCTACATATACAATCCTTTTCCTGTTCTGCTTCGTCTATAGAAATGCTCATCCTCTTTGGTGTTTTAAATTCAAAATTTAAAATAAATCATGGTGCCCAAAATTGAACAAAATCTCATTATGTTCTGTACTAGTCAGAACTAGAGGCCTAAGAAGGAATTCTTATGGCTGAGGGAAATTCATTTGAATGGGGTATCCTCAGGGGACATAGAATAAGATAGGTCAGGAGTCATGAGGCTGGGGCAGAATAAATTCATGAAGTACTAGGACAAAAGTAGAATCTTCTTTTCTGGACATTTTCAAAAACAGGTTGTATTCATCATCTGTCTGGAATGTCTCAGAGAATTCCTGGTCAGAGATAGAGGGAAAAACAACAATATCTCAAGATTCTTTCTAGGTGAAGGATTATGGGACTCTTGTACATGCATCCAACCCTCTCCTATGGAGCTACTTTTCGGGCAAGGGCAGAAAACCTGCACCCTGTCTGGACATAGCAGTTACCTTTGTTGGACAGGGCTTGGGGCTTCACATGCAGCAGACTCAGGGTGGAATGTGTCCTTGTCTGCACACCATTCCCCTCCTCAGAAAAGGGTCTGACTACGTCAAACTCTGTGCAGGCTGTGTCCTCTAGCAGACCTTCCTGGAAACTCTGGTAGCATTCCAGCTTTGAAGCCAAGATTGGTCGCGAGGACTGAGAAGAGCAGAGAAAATACTTCAGAGACCACAATGACAACAACAAAGGCTCCAACAGAATGAGGACCCTGACCCAGGACAGTGAGCTTCGAACCTAGGGACCACTATGGCCAAAAATGGTTTTGGCAAGAAAGATTTATTATTCTACTGTTACCATGTTCTTTGGGTATTGGGATGAATTCATCTGTTGAATCCAGGGTAGATGAGGTGGAAGACAAAAGGAGGAAAAAATATCTGAATGGAGCAATTATAAAACTCAGATCTGAACAATGCCTGAAAACAGATTGCCTAATGATCAACTACAATTCCAGTAGACAAAGAATTAAGCCTGCTACCTACCTCCTGACAGAGAGGTGATAGACTCAGGGTACAGAATGAGGCATATAGTTTTTGGACATGTTCAATATGAGGATTGGTTTTGCTTGACTATACATGTTTGTTACAAAGGTTTGTTTTTTCTCTTTTTTCAATGAGAGTGTGTGGGAGGGAGAGAAAATAGATTTTTGTTCATTGAAATAAATTTAATTTTAAAAAGAAAATAGGTTGCATAAGTTAGTATGTGCATGTATATATAGAACCTACAGATGTATGTGCATCTTTAATTAGAGAGGAAGTATGGCGGGGTAGAAAGAGCATGGAACACAAGTGAAGGGGGCTGGATCCTAGTCCTGGTTCTGCCATTATATCACTCTGTGGTTTTGGATACATTGCTTTAAGTCTCTAGACCTTAGTACCCTCATGTGGCACTACGAGACAATAGGTAAGAGCACGAGACTTGAAGTCATCATAGGACATATGTTAAAATCCTGGCTTAACCACTATCTATGTGGCTCTGGGAAAGAATTATCACCTGTCTGGACCTCAGTTTCTCCGTCTGTAAAATGAGTAGTTCGGACGAGATAACCTATAAGTTTCCTTCCAACTCTGAATATATAATCCTAATAATTACAGATGATGAGTTTGGATGGAGGTCTAGGGCCTTTCTACCTTAATTGGTCTGTGGTCCTATGATTCTTCTTCTAACCCTTCTGCTTTGTAGTCCTGAATGAGACCCAGGAGAACACTGGTTCATCCTGTGTGAAACACACCATAACAGCTCCTCAGAAAAATCTCTATGCTCTAGGACCACTGGAGTCTTGAATTGGCCTCCAGGGCTTATTTCATTTTATTTTTTGGTAACTTAAGTTACAGAGGCATTGAGCATATCAGTGACTGTGCGGATGGGAATTGGGACCAGAAAGAGAGAGAATGGTTAAGAAGCTCTGTCCAAACAGTGGCTGATTGCTGAGCGAGCTCTGCATTCAATAGATAGACTTTGCAGGCTTATGTGAAACAGCATAAGCTGCTTTGTTGTTGTTTTGTTTTTTTGGTTTTTGTTTTGTTTTTGGTTTTTGGCGGGGCAATTGGAGTTAAGTGACTTGTATAGGGTCACACAGCTATTAAGTGTCAAGAGTCTGGTCTGAGACCAGATTTGAACTCAGGTCCTCCTGACTCCAGGGCTGGTGCTCTATCCACTGCACCACTTAGCTGCTCCTAGCACATTCTTTCTTGAAAAGTCCCAGGAGTTCAGGTTGGGACTACAACACAGGTCAATAATACTTACGGGCATTCCTGGAAGAACCTCTGACTGAAAAAAAGTAAATCTGTGCCGTCGGAGGGAACACTGGTTTAAATCCTTTGTCTTTAGGAGTCGGGAACCTTTTCTCTCATATGTGGTAGGGCATTTTCCCAAGACGTCAACCTAGAACCAAAGCCCTAGGCATGTGAGTAATATCAGGATTTCTCTCTTTCTCCCCATGTCCCTCTCTTCTTTATTTTTCTTTCTCCCATCTCCTTTCTTCCTTCTTCCTCACCCCCTCTCACTTCCAACACACACACACACACACACACACACCCCTCCTCCATATCTGACCTGAATCTCTCATTTAGACCCCAGCGCCTGTGAGAAAAATTGTGTGGCTGATGTTGCTCAGGCAGGGAATCCAAACTAAAAATGGTGCTTCATTTCTCCCATTTCAACCAAACACACTCAGGCTTCTCCTACTGCAGTTAGCAGGCTTTGAGGGGCCAAGATACGCCATGTTACAGCCTAGCCAAGAAGCGCCCAGACTCACCTCATCAATGGTTTCTGGAATGGTGGTTCCCGGGCTGGACTGAAGGAGACTCAAAACACCACGTTTGATGTTCACCACCCAGCTCGGATCTCCTTGTTGGGGGCAGATCTTTGGAATCTTTCCATCGCGAAATACAAAAGAAAGTGGGAACTTTTCCAAAATCATCCTAAGTGGAACCAAGAAGAATTAAGCTGACTCCCCCACCCGCAGTGAAGCAGGTTGGGGATCATAGAATCATACATTTAAACCAGGAAGGGCTCTCAGAGGTGAAGGGTCCAGCAGACAGCTAGGAGCTTAGCTTTTGTTTCCAATCGTTTTATTACATCTAAATTTTACACTTCCTCTTTCCAGCCTTCTTCCTTACAGTGTCCCTTCCTCTCCTGCCCTTTAGCCAGGGTTTCTTTCCATCATTCTCTCTCCCCTCAATAGCTTCTGGGTCTGTTTCAAGGAAGTGTGATACAGTAGAAAAAGCAATGAATTTAGAAACAAGAGAACTTGGTTTCAAATCCCACCTCCACCACTTATTACTCGTGTCACCCTGGGCAAATCATTTAACCTCTTGGGGGCTTCCGTTTGGAAAACCCTATTTAGTTCCTTAGACCAGTGGAGAGGCTCCTGGTGCTACTTAAGGACCTTGTGAACTCCTGAAACAGGAATGAGGTTTGTATAAAATGATGGCCACAAAGAACTCACCTAGCTCTGAATCTATGATTGCATTCTATAATCTATGATCTATATCTCTCCTGTTCTCATATCTTCAAGGTCTCTCTTCCTGAAGCACATTTTTTCCCAGCATTTTTCTGCCGTCTAGACCCTCTTGGACAGCAATCTCCACTGGGTCTTAGGTCACACATCTTTGCCTGCGCTGGGGAAACGCTAATGGAGTCTGACCACCCAGAATAGTGAGTGTCACTCTCTCGGCTTCAGGGAGCCCAAAGTCTTCCATCCCTGTGACTTAGCATTTCTGATGAGGAGCTCAGAACAATAGACATCACCGCCCTGTTTCAGCGGTTCCTCCCTAAGCAAGCCTTTGAGCAGAGGATCCATCTGCCCCCTCAACGTTCCCATATCCTCAGACAAAAGCTCTAACAAACGAATTTAAAATAAAAGAAAAAGAGGGAAAGCTGGAGAAATGAGGAGAGCCGGGGTTGGGCCGGCTCTGTTTGACTCTCAGCTTTGAAGTAACTGTCTCCCAGAGAGTCCCAGTCTTGGGGGAGGGCTGGGAAGCTGGTCAGTAGGACAATACCAGGAGATTACTAGACTTGACCAAGCCAGACAATAGAGTGGCTTTTCTTGGTGATGAGAGAGAACCAGCTCTCTAGAAAAATCCCATCTTTGGGAAGTTAGGAGATGAGAGAAAATGCAGAACTTTGGAATATCGGCTGTTCCATCACCATGCTGGTTTTGGGACATACTAGAAGCGAGCTTGACATAAATGGGATTGTAAAAGCAAGAAACTAAGTTGGGTGTGTATGAATGTATGTGTATGTGTGTATATATACATATATCTATATATGTGTATATGTATGTATATATACATCTATACATATATACAGTACACATATATGTATATATATGTGCGTGTGTGTGTGTGTATTTACATGTATATAAAAATACAAATACAAGAAACTGGTCAGATAGTCAATAAATATTGTGGCACTGTGCTAAGCACCAGTATACAAAGAAAGCAAAGGATAGTCCCAACTCTCAAGGAGCTCAAAGTCTCAAAGATATGAGAAGTTTAGTGGATAGAAAGCTGACCTTGGAACCAAGACCTAAGATTAAATCCTGCCTCTGACACATCCTAGCCATGTGACCCTGGAAAGTCATTTAACCTCCTTGTGTCCTGAACTGTCTAAGTTCCAGGCAGTTGCCAATCTGCATCGGCAGGGGGGAGTTTCCACACTGGGAATTCCTTCCATTACTGAAATCACGGGTTTAGAGGTATGTAAGTAGCTGTCCAAGATCTGATCTACACTGTACATTGAGTGCCTTTGTACTGTCCTTTTAGGGAAGATTGGAGATGTGAGCTAAACCCAAGCTTTATGTGATTCAGCCTGGGTCTCTGGTATGCAAGTGTAGAGAATAAGAGTTGGAGGAAAAAAAAAAGAGCCAGATTCCTGACTCGGGGCCAGGCTACCCTCAATCCACGTGAGTAGGAATCCAGACCGAGGGACTGCTTTATAGGGAGAGGGTGAGCACTCCCTGGGCCCAGAAGTAGTTCTATGTTATTGTAGACATTCACACCCCACACATACACACAACACACATGGTTTCAACATTGAAGAAGAGATAGGGAACAAATTTCTTCCACCAGAGGAGAGGCAAACCCATTTCTTAGCACCTGACTCCTTACTGGAGCTTCTCAACTCCTACCGTATTTCAGGGGTGGGAAACCTGTGGCCTTGGAAATTTGGATTCAAAGGGCTGCACTTGAGGACCTAGAGGGCCACATGTGACCTTGAAGTCACAGGTTCCCTATCCCTGGTATTCACCAACCTTTGTTAAGCATTTTTCTGCTTGGATTATGATGCTTCACATAGATAGAAGTAAAAAGACAACCCTCATTCATGTTTCAGGAGTTCACAAGGTCCTTAAGTAGCACCAGGAGCCTCTCCACTGGTCTAAGGAACTAAATAGGGTTTTCCAAACTGCTCAGGGGCATTAGTCATTTGTAGAACCCATTTGGCAAGGAGCCATATTGCAGCAGAGTTAGTCACTTCAACCCAGATAAAAGCACACTTGGGACTTGTTTTCTTACCTCAAACTCTCTGATTCCTTCCCAGGCTCTTCTTTGGATTCCAGAGAAGATTTAACCTGGATGTCTTGGAGCTAAGATGGAAATGTTGTTACTTAATATTTTCTTGGGAGACATTATATTATTCAATTATCAAAGATAATTTATTTAGATTTTCATTATCTCTGGTACCATGCTCAGAGAGTCAGCAAGGTAGAATAAATAAACCACTGACCTCTGAGCCAGAAAGACCAAGCCCCACCTCTCATTGATTTTGGTCATGTCACCCTGGGCAAGTCATTTTCACCTTTCAGGGTCCAGGCAACTCTCTTAACACTACAAATTGTAGAGAAGGTACACCTACATTGGTAGAGGGAGTTCTCTCATCTGGGAATCCCCTGTACCAGTGTAACCATAGCTCTGTCTACGATGCTATGTACTATGCAAAGAGAGTCTTGTCTCTCTATCTCTACAGCCATTTGCTTTGGGTAGGATACTGCTAGGAAGAAAAGAACTGGGTTGGTGATCATGAGAGCATGAAATCGCCATGGTTTTTTCTTTGCTACAGCTTTTAAGAGTATATGGCCACCTTGGGAAGGCTTTTAAAAAGCCATTCACAGGGCAGCTAGGTGGGGCAGTGGATAGAACACCAATCCTGGAGTCAGGAGGACCTGAGTTCAAATTTGGCCTCAGACACATGACACTTGCTAGCTGTGTGACCCTGGGCCAGTCACTTAACCCTGATGGCCTCAACAACAAAAACAAAAAGGAAAAAAAAAAGCCATTCACATAAGCATACCCCCAAGGGTCAAGGACCGAAAAGAGACCAGGCTGTTTTTAAGAGTAAAGACAGAAAATGCAACCCACCACAACAGGGACTAAGCATCTTCTAGTTACCAATGTTTGCCATCATCCAGAGCATCCAGAGTCAGGCTTCTCAAATCAGCAAAGATGTGTATCATCAAATATAGGTATCATCAAAGGGATATTTGAGGAGCAGAAGGAAAGACCTTCCCCCTCTTCCCCACAAGACAGAAAACACCAGACTAGAAATCAGGAGTTCTGGATTCTAGTGCCAGCTAGGAATAGGGATTCAATCTGTGATTTCATTGATACAGGGGACTGTCAGAAGACAGAGGTCACTCTACCAATGTACCTTCTACAAAACAGAATTAAAGAGTTGACTAGAGCACTGATAAGTTAAGTGACTCACCCAGGGTCACACAGCCCGTATTTGGGGCAAATCATTTAATCTCTTTGGGTTTCAGTTTCTTCATTTGTAAAATGAAGTTTATAGTAGAGAAATCTCCAAGGTTCCTCTCATTCTAAGGTTTTATGGTTCTAAGTATTTCCAAATAGATCTTCTTCTCACTCCTTTGAGTTTAAAGGCAATATGAAGTCATCCGCTGTTCTTAATAAACTTAGATCCAAGGAATCTATCAAAAGAATTACTTCCACAGAGGAAATCTGGAGAAATGGGACAGAAGACAGGTAAGATTTGATCAGGAGCACAGAGCACGTCCTAGTAAGGAAACCATGGGTGGGGGCGCTGAGCAGCCCAGGGATAGAATGATGGCCCTGGATAGCTACCGGCAGGGGCAGGGGAGGGAGGAGAGTACAGAAAAATAAAGAGGAGCATGAAGTAAAAAAGGGAATGGGGGCTTCACTATCAACTATCCCCTCTGTGGGGAAATGAAACTCTCTGGCCTTGACTTCTCTTTCAGCTCTAGTCATACCTACATCTTTAACTGCCTGTGAATCATTTTCATCTGGACATGCCAGAGGCCCTTCAAATCTCAGCTTCTACCCAGAACCAAGATCAGCATTTTCTTTCTATCTGAGAAGGCAGTGTAGTACAATAGAAGGTACACTCATTGCTTCTAAAGTCACAAGACCTAGGTTCAAATTCCTGCTTCTCTGGCACTTACTCCCTATATGGTTTAGGGCCCTGGCTCTTGTTTTCCACATCTATAAAATGCAGGGGTTGGATTTGCTGACCTCTCAGATCCCTTACAGCTTTAAATCTATGATCCGGCACTTAGCACAGGGCCTGTACATAGTAGGCACTTAATAAATGTTTGTCAAGTATGATCTTCCCCAAAGTTACTATCTGTGTAAGGCAAATCACTTAACCTCCCTGGGCCTCAGTTTCTTCATCTGTAAAATGGGGGAGCTGAAATAGATGGACTCTGAGACGCCTAGTAGTCCAGATCTATTATCCCATGACCTGCTCTCTCTCTCTCTCTCTCGTGACAATCTTATTTTTTGTCAATGGTTCTTGTACCTATCACTCAGACATGAAACCTTAGTCTGGCTCAATCCTTCTTAGACTACCTCGGTCCTGAGGGATCTTACCTTTCTCTGACCTCTTCTGGTACATCCTTCTTGTTTGACGCACTTACCCTATATCCTGCCTTGAACTCTGAATCTTTTCCCCTTTGTTTTGCTATAGCTGTCATCCCCCCAAAAAGGAACTGAGCCCTTAAAGGTAAATATCACAGCTCATACGTATTTCTCTGTTTCCCCGGTAGATCTTGGACAGGGCTCTGCACACAGCAGGCTCACAAGAAATATTGTTAGTAAAATAAAATTTTTCCCACTTCACAATTTGGCTTCAGGTTGACCCTGGATATGTCATACTGAAGATGCTAGAAAAGACCAGGAGAAGTTTGGGATCTGCTTGTTGCTCTGAATCTATGCAACACATGTATTATTTTATAATATATATTATATATTATAATGTATATTGTATATATATTATATATTATTAGTATATGTTGTTATATATTATAATGTATAACATATATTATAATGTATATTGTGTATATATTACATATTATTAGTATATGTTGTTATATATTATAATGTATAATATTATATATTATAATGTATATTGTATATGTAATATATTATTAGTATATGTTGTTATATATTATAATGTATAATATTATAAATTATAATGTATATTATATATATAGTTAGTACATGTTATTATATATTATAATGTATAATATTATACATTATAATGTATATTGTATCTATATTATATATTATTAGTATATGTTGTTATATATTATAATGTATATTATATATTGTAATGTATATTGTATATATATCATATATTATTAGTATATGTTATATATTATAATGTATAATATTATATATTATAATGTATATTGTATATATTATATATTATTAGTACATATTAGTACATGTTATTATATATTACAATGTATAATAGTATATATTATAATGTATATTGTATGTATATTATATATTATTATTATATGTTGTTATATATAATGTATAATAGTATATATTATAATGTATATTGTATATATATTATATATTATTAGTATATGTTATTATATATTATAATGTATAATATTATACATTATAATGTATGTTGTATATATTTTGCACAATATATATATGTGCATATTTTATCGTTCTTCCAACAGAACTTCTCTGGGTACATTTGGGGACTGGGGCAGAGGCAACATAGTACAATGCCTCTGGAGTTAGAAGATTGGGGTTGGAATCCTGTCTTGAACACTTACTGCTTGTATGACCTGAAGCAAGTCACTTAACTTCCCTGTGCCTCAGTTTCCTCATCTGTAAATGAAGGTAATGGAATACATGGCCTCTGAGGTCCCTGAGCCCGAGAGCTACAATCTTCCAGTGTCAAGAATTTCTGTTGGTTCATTAGGAGTTTCAGCTTTCCACAGCTGAACCATGTCTAGCATTCTCTAATACATGAAGAGTAAGCCTCAGGAGCGACTGCTTCTGCCTGGCCCCGTGTACACTTTAGTGTAGCTGGGACGACTTCCCAGGGAGACTCACCCGCAGCACTGCATGGCACCCACTGACAGCATCCAGGATCGCCAGACCCTCAAGACCAAGGCTGCTTTTCTGGGTTCCACTGCCCCACAGAGAGGTACTGCTGCTGCTGGAGTAGCGATAGCTGTATCGGGCACCTTTGGAGAAGTAGAACGCACCAGGACCTAGGGAACACGAGAGGGGGCGGCTGCCGGCTGGAATGGAACCCTGAGCAAGTGGTCCATAGCTTCGGCAAACTCACCTGCAGTATATAAATCATGCAATATAGCACGTGGGTCTGGAAGTCGGAAAGGATAGTCATCTAATCCAATTCTCTCATTTTTTCAAGTGAGGAAACTGAGGAACAGAGAGGTTAAGTGAAGTACCCAATGTTATACCTGTAGCATGTGGAAGAGCCAGCATTTGAACTCGGGTTTTGTAATTCCAAGTTCAGCCTCCCAGAGATTATTCCTCTCTGGACAGCCATCTGTCCAATTCAATTCAACAAAACATTAAGGGTCTATTTTGCTTAAGGAGAAATGCAGCCATGGTGTAGACTCTGGCCCAGAGTTAAGAACACTTCTGAGACATACTGGCTGGGCGACTATAAGCAAATCACTTAACTTCTCCTTGCTCCAACTCTCTGAAGACTACTTGTTTGCAGAGTAATTGCCAATCAGTATTGGGGGAAAGATGCGGTCCTGGACAATAGCTACCCAGATGGATCAAATTACAAAGGAAAAAAATATTGAAGAAACTATCCTAGATATTATAAAGGGAAAGTTAAAAAGCAATACAGTGCCTGCCCTCGAGGAGCTTATGGTCTAATTGGGGGTTGGAAGGTGGAAAGGATGAGACAGCAGTAGACAAATCAACAGACATTATTAAGGGCTTACTATGAACCAGGCAAGGCAGGTAGGCCTAGAGTGGATAGAGCTCTGGGCCTGGAGTAAGGGAGACCCAAGTTCAAATTCAACCTCAGACACTTTAGCTGGGTGACTCTAGGCAGGTCACTTAACCTCTGTTTGCCTTGTTCCACTGGAGAAGAAAATGGCAAACCACTCCAGTATCTTTGCCAGGAAAACCCTATGGATGGTCCACAGGGTCCCACAGAGTTGAACACAACTGGTTCTATCACACCTGATCAAGTATATGCAGCATTCACAACCACCACGGATAAAACAAACCACCTAAAAGAAGAAGCCAGAAGCTGAAACGGCTGCGGTATACATGTACAATGGAGTATTCCTGAGCAGCAAAAAGAGATAAATATGAGGAATTCAGAGAAGCATGGAAAGATTTGTATGAATTGGTGCAGATCAAAACAACAGACCCACAGGAACATTACATATAACAACTACAACAAAGTAAACAAAAAGACTAGGAAAAGGAAGCCAACCTTGGACTAACTGAAAAACCAATCACAGCTTTAGAGAGCAGAAAACGAAACATACTTCTCTCGTCTCAACAGAGGGACCGAGGACTGCTAAGGCAAAATGTTGCATATAAAGTCCAATGCCATCGTTCTATCAGGTTTTGTTGTTGGGTCATGTCTGATTCCCCACAGCCCCATTTGGGATTTTCTTGGCAAAGATGCTTGAAGGGTTTGCTATTTTCTTCTCTAGCTCATTTTACAAATGAGGAAAGTGAGGTAAATAGGGTTAAGTGACTTGCCCAAGGTGACACACCTAGTAACTGTCTAAGGCTGGATTTGAATTCAGGAAGATAAGTCTTCCTGACTCCACGCCCAGCACTCTATCCATCGTGCCACCTAGCTGCCCCTATTTTAATCAGGTATTTTTGTTTAATTGTATTTTCTCTAGTGCAAAGAAGGATTCAAAGTGGGATGGGGGTTGGAGGTAAAAGGAGGAGGAAGAGGTGTTATTTTTTTTCTTTCAAAAATAACCACAATTGGTTCCTCCCATTGGTTCTAATTCTTTTTTACAACATGACTAATGTGAAAATGTGTTTAATAGGAATGTATATGTAGAGCCTTTATCAGATTGCACACCGTCTTGGAGAAAGAAAGGGAGAAAACTTAAAACTCTAAATCTTATGTAAGTAAATGTTCAAAACTAAAAGTTAATTAATTGATTTAAAAAATGACCACCATTCCAGGATGATTCATAGTACCCATCTCATGAAACATACACTGGACAGAATGGACATGGCCAATGCAGGAATTTGTCTTGCTTGACTATGCATATTTGTTAGAAAGGTTTTTGGTTTTAGTGTTTTGTTTTCTTTTTTATGGTGGGAGAGAGGGAAAGAAAATAAATGCTTGTTCATTGCACACATACACAAAAAATTCAACCATAAGAAGATTGTTTTTTTAAAAAAATAAATTACATTTTAAAATAACTGTGATATAAAGACATAAATAAAAAATATTTTTAAAAGAAACAGCCAGAGGGTTGGAATGAGACATATATTAAACAGAATAGACATGGGCAATGAGGGATTTGCTCAACTATGCTTTTTGTTATAAAGGTTTTCTTTTTCCCCTTCATTTTAACAGTGGGAAAGAAAGAAAATAAATGCTTGTTAATTGCAAAAAAGTGAAAAAAATTAAACTATGAAAAGGAAAAGAAATGATTCTTAATTTTTTTAAAAAATAAAATTAATTTTTAAAAGAAAAATTGTGATGTAAAGACATCAATAAAAATACATTTTGAAAAGAAACAGCCAGAAGTCCTGGATGGAGATCACCAGTCTGTCATAGATTTTCATTCTGCTCTTTCACTTATTCTTTAAATACTTTATGAATAGAAGAGATGCAGAACACAGCCTGCTGTTCCCCAAGCTTGGACTGCCATGGCCACTCTCAGGCCGTTTGGAGTCACCATGTAGCAGAGCCGCCAGCAGGTACCCCTCCCAGATCTTAATACAATCCTGAAAACTATAGAGTGGATGTTAAATGAAATGACATTTGTAAAGCGCTTACCCAGTGCCTGGCACATAGTAAGCCCTTATTAATGTTAGTGGTTATCATCATCATCATCATCATCATCATCATTAAACTGAGAAAGAAAGGGAGAAGAGGTGAGGGCCGGGAGAGACCTCAGAGCTGGGCAAGCCCAGAAGTTAACCTCACCATCCAGTGTATCTCACTCACCAGCACACTCTGTCATACAGGAGGCTTCCTGCTCCGGATTCTCTGGAGTATCTGAAATAATAAATGAAATTTGTAGGAGTTGTAGCCCAACTACAAAGCGTCCTTGTGAAGCTTCAGGTACAGCTCCCATGCCTTTGGCTTGTAGAGAACTTGAAATACCACTTCCAACTGCTGGGAGGCTTCAAGGTGCTGTTGGCCAGAAGCCTGTCACCCCACCCTTCTCCCCTCCCCAATTTGTGGCAGAACTAAAGCCCTCCTGTCTCCTTCAGCAGCAATGGTGTTCTTTGACTGCCCATTTGGGTAGGCTCCACTCTCCCTCATTACCTGCCATCTGGAGTTATCTGCCACTATGCTCCATTGGGGTCTAGAACCAGAGGACCTTGGTTAGTTACCAACTGTGTGGCCTTGCCCATGTCTCTAACATCTGTTTCCTCATCTCTAAAATGAGAGAAGTTGGAATAGGTGGCCACTCAGGTCCTTTCCCCCTCTAACCTATGGCCCTAAGATGGTGATCCTTTGGGTGCTGAGTGAGTATAAAAAGGGAGCTCTTTCAGCCTTCTCCCTCTAATGGGAGAAAAGCAAAGCAAAAATAAGGATAAGCATAGACCCTTCACTCTCAAATTAGCCAGAATCTAGGCTTCTCTATCTCATTGATGACTTACATTTTCTCTTCTGCCTGCCCTGTAGGAATGGACCCAAGCATGGATGTTAAAGAGCCAAATGGAACTAATTCTTGAGATTGTTTAATTTTCTTTTGTTTGTTTGTTTTTTGCTTTTTAGTGTAGTTATCAGGGTTAAGTGACTTGCCTAGAGTCACACAGCTGGTAAGTGTCAAGTGTCTGAGGCCGGATTTGAGAGATTGTTTAATTTTCAATGTGATCATTTACACCTCAGAAACCCACAAATGCTACAAATCAGAGCTTGAGTTGATTGCTCTGTTGATGGTCTAGATTTAAGAAATCGATGGAGAAAATAGGAATAATGCAGGCAGACGCAACTTAAAAATGTGCCTTGCATTTTCTGAGAGCAGGCTGATAAGCATGTACCACTACACCCCTGAGCCCAAGTATGAAACAGGAATCACCTGGCACTCGGAGCTCAGGCTTTTTTCTTGTCTATCCTCTTTTACTCTAGCTAAACCCAAGCTGCATAGACACTTGTGAAAATATATTCCACTCTCCAAGGACAGGGCTGTCACTATGATGGGACCAGTAGGGTTTTGTGCCAGAGTGGAAAATGAAGAGGAAATTAACAATACGTCCATTTGGTACACTCCCTCCCCTGTCCAGCTAGATGCCCTACCAGCTTGTCCTTCATGCATCTAGCACCCACACACCCAGGTGAACCTACTCATATCTCTGCGACTTGGTCCAAGTGCAAAAACATTGCTCTTTATAGTTCTGCCAAAGAGTACCCAAAATTTCACAAAACAAGGGGCCACGATTGCAAATAGTTGCTGAATTTTATAGAGATTTTAGTGTTCTCTGGAGTTTCAGTTTCACCTCCAAGAAGAAAGGAGATGTCTATGAGTAATTAAAAATATTAAATTAAGTTCCTAAAAAGTTGTTTTTGTTTGTTAATTGGGAAAAAAGGAAAAGAAAAAGCATTTTACAAAGGAGAACTTCTCCTTCAATATATCATAAAAAGCTTTTAAAATAATCAAGGACTACAGGGTTTCTGATATTTATTCTAAATGTCTTGACCCTCTTTAATGCAAAGCTAGCTTTTTTTTTTATTAAAGCGGAGCTGATGTTTAATTAATTGTCAGAAGGGCAAAGTCACATTTCAGCCCCACATAGTTTTAGCCCGTCTGACTTCTCTTTGAAATAATATCTTCATTCCCCAGGACACCTTGGATGGAGCCCATGTGCCAAATTAAACAGTTTTATGAAAGAGCCAGCTTTAAGCTTTCAGTTGCATAAAAGCATACATTTATCTTTTTTTTTTCATTTAATCACATCTGCTCTGCCACCCAGCATCCCTGATGAGGTGATCCCACAAGAATTCTCCTGTGAATTCTGAAAAAAAGCAAAATCTTCTCCCCCTAAGGTAGTGAAGACTGACAAACCACAGGAATTCTAAAAGCAATCCCTCTGTTCTCACACCATTCTGATGAACTTTTTAAAAATCTAAAACAAAGAAAACAATTACAGATCAATCCTTTAGTAATCATATTTAGCAAATCAAAACTAACCAATACAAATTTTTGTGGGGTTTTTTTAAATTCCTTTCCAGGGACTAAATCTTCCAGTCATATCTTACCCTCTCACTCAGACTTCCGAAATAGACACCACCTGCATGCACGGGACCCAACAAATCAAATCTAATTACACAGCTCAACTCCTTCAAATTAATTTCTGCACTAGATTCCAATGAGGTGACCTGGTTAAATAATCCAGTTCCTTTCAAAGCTTGATACCTATCAGAGGGACAGCTTGACATCTTCAAAAACCCAGTTTCCAAACACAGCAAGTCAGGAATCGTTTCATTGCCTTAGATTTGAGTGATGCCCTGGGAAATACTTTTCCTAAAGTTCTCCAAACTCCACCTCATTTCCCTGTTTCCCCAGATAATGCTGCTGGCTGAAGATGAGACAGTCTGGTTCTCTGACATTACCAGTAAAATATTCTCCCTTTGCTTCCCCTCTCTCCTCCCATTCCCAAGTCTTTGATGTGAAACAGTAAGACAGAGTTGCCTGAGGAGGAGGAGGAGAAGAGGGAAAGACACTCCAAGTATGGAAAGCCCCCCCAGCCCTTCAGAATGTCCTTTCCCAGAGGAAGGTAAGACCACAGAAGGAACATCATTCTGGAAGCAGGGCAGGGGGCGGAGAGAGAACACCCAGAATTGCAGTTGCTCTGAGTGGTAATTTACTTACTCCCTGTAGTTGCTGCCACCACAGTCCAGAGGAAGACGAAAGCCGTAAGCCCCATGACCATCAGGATCGCCTCCTTAGCCCAAAGTTAACCAAACAACATCAGCTCCAGCTCTCAAAGGCAGCTCTGAGTTGGGCAGCACTGAAAGGACACTTTCTTTACAAGCTAGCAATGCACTGCTTCATTTCTTAGCCAGAGGGGAGGGGAAGGGGCTTCAGGAGGAAACCTGCCAGCCAATCAGAGCCCTGTGATAAAGTTATAAGCTCCCCATCTGAAAGGAAGGGGAAAAAAAAAGGACTGACCAATGAGAAAATCCCCCTTTCCTAACCTGGGAAAAGAGAGGGTTTTGCCTCCTCGTGCCTGGCAAAACTCACAGCCCCTCATGGAACTACTAACCCACTGGGAATGAAAGGCAATCATTTCCCCTTTCCCAGGCCTCATTTGGGGAAGGGGCAAAGCAGAAAAAAGGAGGCATCTATGTAGAGGGAATCATGGGAACATTTGGAGCTGGAAGGGATCTTAGAGAGCTGTGAATCCAACCCTCTCATTTTACAGATGAGGAAACTGAGGCCCAGAGAGGTTAACTGACTCTCCCACCATTACATTAAGCTGAGAAGCTAAGAAGCAGTCAAGGCAAGATTTGATTTGAAGTGTCTACCATTGATTCAAAGTAGGGGACAATGGAAAAGGAATAACTATTTGCTATTGTTGCTTACTTGTCTTTCAGTTGTGTCCAACTCTTCGTGACCCCCTTTGGGGTTTTCTTGGCAAAGACACTGGAGTGGTTTGCCACTTCCTTCTCCAGCTCGTTTTACAGATGAAGAAACTGAGCCAAACAGGGTTAAGTGACTTGCTCAGGGTCTCATAGCTAGTAAGTGTCTGAGGCAGGATTTGAACTCAGGTCTTCCTGACGCTAGGGCAGCTAGGAGGCACAGGGGATAGAACACTGGGCTTGGAATCAGGAAGAGTCATCTGTACCCTAACCATTATACTACACTCTTCTAGCTAGATGAGAATAAAAGAGCTCCTCACTTCAGACTCAGGACACATCAAGCAAATCTGCCATCTCCAATAATATTTACCTCCACCTCAAAAGACTTTGAACCCCAGCCAAGATCTGTTGTGCTTAGGAAGGATGCCTTGGGAGGGTTCTATACTTTAAAAAACAAAAACAAACAAACAAACAAACAAAACACCCTGTCCTTCGTGATATCCTCAGTCCCTTACATAAAGACTCACTTTCCTACAGCCCACTTCCCCTTCCGCTCTGCACCTTAACTCTCTGTTTGTCCTGCTTCCCAGCATTCTGATTTTCAGAATCACGTCCCAGAATGTGAAACATTCCCAGGATGAAAAGTAAGGGTCTTTGGCTCCAAGCTGAAGCAATTCAACCCAGCAAGTATTTACTGAGAAACTAATATATTCAGCATTGTGCTCTAGGTGAATGACCAATCTGAATTTCAGACGACTGGCAATAAAGCATTCTTCCCTCCTCCCAGAAGAGAGGTGTGAACTGTAGGTGCAGAATGATGCGTATGTTGTCCGATATGGTCAGTGCATTGACTTGTTTTGCTTTGTGTGAATGTGTGAGTGAGTGTATGTTATGTTTTAGGTGTCACTGAGATGTCACAATGTAAAAATTCTTACATATATCTAAAGTATGTCTATATAAAGCATATATACATAATATATATATGTGTGTGTGTATGTGTGGGGACAGAGAGAGAGAGAGAGAGAGAGAGAGAGAGAATATATAACTGGTCTTCCAATCGAATCCTGGAGCATTTCATGGGTTGCTAGTACCTAGAAGGAGAAGTGACTCCTAATTGGGGGAAAGAATGCTGAGGCAGCTCTGTATATTTAGTAAGGGACAGGATTGGTGCCAGAAGAGAGACGTCAATCATTCTAGAGATTCTTCAGGAAAGACACACGAGGAAAAAGAATTTGGAAGCTGCGGAGATATAAGGAGAGCTGTCTTTGCAACAGGTCTTCAGCTTCCAAAGCCTTTTATTCTCTCTGTTGTAGTTTGTCCTTCATTCCCAAAGAGGACCATGACATCAGGGAGGTGACGCCATGACATGCAAGTGAATTGGATTTAAGTGAGGCCGGGCTGTGCAAAGTCACCAGCCTCACTTTCTCCTCCAGAGTCATCTGGGTCCAGTGGCAAGATATAGATCAGAACGACTGGAGATGGCCCTGGATGCAGTGGGAGACCTCGGCCTTTTTAAACTAAGGTCTTTTCACTCTCTCTACATTTCTTTTGAAAAGTCTCTGGCACCAACTATCTCCAGGTAGGTGGAATCAACTCAGCATTCTTTCCCTCACTTAAGAGTCACTTCTAGGTACCAGAAGATCAAGAAACACCCCAGGCTTGTTTGGAAGCCTGTTTATATGTCTTATTGTAGGTGTTATGAAGGATACACAGGAGAATAAGACACAGTCCTTGCTCTCAAGGAAC